ACGTGGGTGGGTCTCGCCGGCTCCGTCCGGAGCTGAAACACTCTGCAGGAGCATGGAGCCGGGGCTGCATGACACAGCTCCCTGCTTTGCTGTGTCATTTGCACCTCACTGCAATTCGTGGGTCCACAAATGGCTTGTTTGTCCTTGTGTCTGTCCTCGTCTCCCCAAGGTGCAGGGACCTCTGGGTCCTTCCCTCCAGAGACCCCAGCTCCATCTGTGTGCCCTGTAGTTGCTTATTTGCCTGTCACGTTGCTTGCGGCCCAGCCTGGGGAAGACCCCGGTGCAGGTTTGTGCCGGTGCTGGATGGTGCTGAGCCGTGCCCCCGTCTCCAGCCCTGCAGCCTGGGCTGTGCCGTGCCTGCCTGGGGGGTGCTGGGACCCCCGGCAGGTCCCAGAGGGCAGCAGGGTCTGGCAGGAGATGGGGTATGGCCAGCGTTGGTCTGAAGCGACCGGCTGAGGATGCATGGGGAGCAGCTCACCTTCCCCTCCTGACACCCCTGTCTGTATCTCTCTTTTTAGATGATTCCTCCGGACCAAGAGCTGCTGGTCTGGTACGGGAACTCCCATAACACCTTCCTGGGCATCCCAGGTGTGCCGGGGCTGGAAGAGGAGCAGAAGAAGAACAAACATGGTAGGTAACAGCGGAAACAGCCATGGGTGCAGCATCCCTGCCTGTTCTCTATTCACCCCGTCCCCAGCTCTGAGGCCATGGGGTAGGCACAGGGCAGGGACACCCCAGGGAAAATGCCAGATCCCCCAGCTCTCTGGGGACAAACACAGGGACTACGAGACAGATCCACACAGCTTGAGCAGGTCCCCAGTAATTCGGTGGGGTTGCCTCCGGGCTGGTTTGCCCAGGGCTGTTGCTGGTGTGGTGGCCAGACCCAGGGAGGAGCAGGGCAGAGGTGTGAAGCAGCCCCAACGCCCTGCAAAATGCCGGTGTGCCCGCTCTGTGTTTAACAGATGTTTCCCCAAATCACCATCGCAGGAGGCTTTTCTCTCTCTGGGCTTTTGCTCTCTGCTTGTCGTGGTGGTTCCCCGAGGTGCTCCTCTGCGGGCAGGCAGCAGAGCTGTTGGGCACTTTTGGGGGATGCTGTGCTCAGAGTCCGAGCCCATCTGTGCTCCCCAGCCCCGCTCCGAGAGAGCCGGGTCGGACCCCAGTGGAGCAGGGGGAGAAGTGTGGCTGCGGGCTGGGGGTTCCTGCGTTCACCCCCTCCAGCTCTGCTCGCAGCCCAGGGAGGGGAAAAGCACTTTTTGCGCCCGTCTATAGGGAAGACAGGTCGGCTTGAGTGCTCTCCCTC